GAAATTTCGATGTGTAGGGTTTTATCTTGCCCCATCAAAGAACTGTTTAGAGGCACCCAGTCAAGTTTTTTTTTCGGCTGTTGTCGTTGAAGACTCGAAATCCCCCAGTGGCTTTCCATCGTTGTTTTTTTTCTGATCTGGAATCCTCACAGAACTCGTAAGTACTTAGTCAAACTCTAAACTTGTTTTCTCAGGTTTATTCTTAATAAGTTAAAAATACAGCAGCTAAAAAAGAAAACAAAGATTCTTATTTCTTCATTTGTTTCAACAATTTATTTACTGACTGCCTTGATCCCCATCAATAGAGTACACCTTCCGCTGCAAAAAACTGTCAAAGTAATGTTACCTTTACTTCTAACTTCTATGTGAATCAAATTCTAACAAATTATTTCCCAACCAAATTTGAATTTCGGCACCATAATCCTTAATTGTAGCTGTAGACTGTCTTTTTTGATGTCACCAGCCAAATTATGACTATGATGTGTAGTTAATTGCTAATTTAAACGGTGATAAATCATGAGTGCAGCAAAATGACTGTAAGTAACTATAAGGATGCAATTAACAATATGGAATTTCTCTTCGAGTGTTTAACTCGATAGCTCACGAGTGAGTGCAGCGAACGAGTGAGATGTCAAGTTGAATACGAGAAGAGAAATTCCATATCTGAAAGGAACCATCTATTATTTTGTTTATCATATAAGCACAATAGCCCTTTAGTGAGAAGAAAAGCCGACTTCATCAATGAATGAAAATAAATGAATTGACAATCCCCGAATAACAATCGTAGAGTGCGTTGGCGCTAATTCTAAGAGGGAAAAATTCATTAAACCATGATTACAAAAACAACAAGGGTCGTAATTTTTAATTTAAAAAATTATTATTTATTGACTTTGTCCTAACCGACAAAAAGGCTTTTGTGAAACGGCCAAAATCGGCCAGTAGCAAATCTTCCGGCTGTCGATTTTCATTCTCCGCCAGAAATGCTAACACCAAAGCCACTGAATACGTAACTTTGGGTTTTTCTTTTGGTATATTGGTTTCCTTCCTCTTTTAGGACGGTTTGAACCTCACTTTCTGTAAACGATACGGATTTTTAGCGTTTTAACCGCCATAATTAGAGAAAGCTCCGACAAACAACTTGTATTGAGAATCGTGAAGGCTTTGCCGTTCATTCATCAACCTAACCGAGTGGTGCAAAAAGCGAGTGACGTGTCAGCAGCTGATTGGCTATATCAACACACATTTCTTATTTGTGAGTTGCTCTACTTTCCGCGTTTGTGGCCGTCTTTGGTATAATTGTAATCATGAACATCAGTCAATTGTTCATAAAAGGAATTGTTCCAAAAGACCGATCGATTCCGTGATCGTGATCGCGGTCACACGTGATCAGGCTCGATGTAAACAGGCACCAGGAATTTTCTCAGTTTTATTGTAGGAGCTTTCTACCACTTGATGTTTTTTTCTTTCTTTTTTTTCTTTCTGGAAACCAGCGGCAGCTCAAAAAAGCTAGAAAGTGGAGCGACTCACAATTAAGAAATGTATACTATGATTAAAGATGTTACGCTTACAGCATTCCCCCCTCCCCACCTCCCAAGCAACCCACGGACGTTAGATCGTCGTCCTTGCTTGGCTTGGATAGGAAATTTGAAATGGAACCGGGATTTTCGGAAGTCTCTCCAGCAAAATACAAGTGTTAAGTCTTTAAATATGGAGTTGTTTAAAGGCAAATAGTTCACTTTCGCGAGGGAATGGATTAGAAAAAAGGTCTTCAAGGTCTTGGTTTGAACGCCTGGTCAATGTGGGAGGGGAGGGGGAGGGGGAGGGGGGGTGTCCGAGGGGGATTTTGAAGCTCGAATTGATTAACAAGTAACGCAATACGCATTTGAACCGTACACGTTTATAAACTCCTGCTTGGGAAATTAAACTGAAAATGAGGCGATTTGGTTTAGAAATCTGCAACACAACCGTGAGTAAGCATTGAAAAACAGGGTATTCAATTCATATTGATGGGGTTGGAAGATCAGGAAACAAGGCATTATGTCATTCATTATTGGCTGGAAAATGTTTGTTTAAATAAGAAATTCGATTTCTTATCATTTACAGCAAATGTAAACTAGCGCACAATTTCTTTACATTCTTTATTTACACACAGACCAACAAGCACAAGGCAAATCATTTCGTAACCAGTAGTCTCCTCTTTGAAATAGCCGAGCAAATGAAAAATGGGTAACTCACTTTATCAAAGTCTTGAAAATGGGAAGATAAAAGTTGACTTGTATCCCATTAGTTCCTCCTTTTTCTCCCTCTTAGTTGCCTTGTGCTTGTTGTATCATTTGTTTCCATTTCGTCTTTTATAGCACATTCACTTTTTCAAGTTATAAACTTTCTTTTCTTTAAAGTCTTGTGAGATTGATTCTGTAGATGTGCTGTGTACGTTGTCTGACCCGATTTGAATGCCTCCACTCAGTGACCGCGTGCTACGCAGGACTCTGTACATCAATAAGAACTGAAAGATTTAATAATCAGTCAATTATTTTCAACTGTGATAAACAGACCACTTAATTCGCCTTAGTATTCGCTTATAATTTTAATTACCAAAGGCGAACTGATAATCGCACAGAAAAACAGCAACAAAGAGAATCCAATCACCTGGCATATACATGACAGCTCGCTTGAAACAAGAATAAGAAACAAGAAGCTTACCTCACTAACGTGAACTGGGTACCACAAAGAATTTAAAAACTAGCATTTTGAACGTTAGCACTACGCCGGAGCGACTGGAGGAATTGTGGGTTGTGTGTGGGTTCATATACAGAAATGGAGCTACGCTATTGGTGGGAATATAGTGACGAGTAAACAAGAATAAATTAGTTAAATGAAAAGCGCTCGTTGACATCGCTGGGATTAAGAGTGCTGATTGAAAGATAAATTTTTGTTTTACAGTTTAGCTGCTTTCCAAACTGCCTAGATGTGGGAAAAGACGTCCTTGCCATTTCTATGTACGTCGCAAAGGTGTTATCGGAATCGGTCACCTAGTCGTCTTCCTTCCAAGAAACAGGAAGCTTACCTCATTATTTAGATATTGGAAAAATGGGACCTCAAGCTTCTTGACCTTTAATTTTCTCATGACCACAATAAATAATCTGGCTTAATTTGTGGCCATTAAAAGAACTTAGTAAATGGTGAATGAAACAGTTTAGATAAAGATGGGCTAACAACGTAACTTCTTACACCTGTCGCCGTTTCGTTCCTAAGTCAACACAGGTGCGACACGTAGAGAACAAAAATCCACGTGTCTTTAGAATAACTTTGCATCTGTAACCTGCATTTATTTTGGAATTGGACTTTTTTTTCAGGTTGTAATTTCACTAGGACAATTTTGGTTAAATAAAGTCGGAGAAGTCCGGAAATTCAGTGAAAACAGTTCGTATTGAGTTTAGCGAGTTGAGAATGCACGGTATTTTCACTAGTAATAACATGGGATTATCTAGCCTACATGACCGGAAGTTCACGCCAAGTTATATTACCTCGCGAGATGGTATAACTTGTCCTCGTAAATGCTGCAAATCGCATCGTGCGTAGTGACAGACGCGTGCTAAATACTCTGGAATTGTTACTTACCAGACGCTCGTATCTTGGGTTAGTTTGCCTCGTGGTTTATTAAAATTCGGAAAATGTCTGACGACTTCTATAATGCTTCCCGTTTTTACCGATTTACCATCCCTCCGCTGCAGTTGGATTCGCCAATTCCTCGGCCAGGACCATACTTATTCCATGGCGCTGGTGTACAGAACCAGAACCAGATTAGCCTACGTGTAGCCGTACCCTTCCCCCCGCCAAGGTGAAACAGAGGCGAGGTAACGTCTACGCAAACCTGGCACTAATCGTGTTCCGTAACGTCACTCGTTTGCAAGAAAATGTATTATGATTTTTTTATTGGTTAACCCCTACGTCCCTAAAGCAAAATATGTATTTGAAATCGGACGCTGAAACGCAAATTTACTCGAAAAATGGCGAATGAATTCACTTCAATATTATTGTTTATCTCGATAATCTTCACGCTAACACGTGCTATTTCACAAAAAAATATTATCAAATGACATCATTTTGCATAAATTAGAGTGGCGTCACGGAACACGATTAGTGTCAGGTCTGCGTAAACGTTCCCTCGCTTCCGTTTTACCTTGGAGGGGAGGGTACGGCTACGCGTAGGCTAGAAACAGATGGGTATTGTTTTCATTTTAAATCGACAGGATTGACCTATTTCGTCGAATTCTCCTTGTTTGAAGAGGAATCAAATGCATCCTCTGCAAGAATCGCCTTCTCACTCACATCAATATGGCGAAAATTAGCACAAGATAGGTCATCAAGAACGCTTCGTCTCCCGCCATTTTTGCAATGTGCGCACCTTTGTAATTTGAATCGTCAGAGTCAGCGGGTTAAATTCTGGGTCAAATATCCCAATGAAAACAGATGTCACGTTTAACTAGCAAATGTTGGTTTGTAAACGAACACGAAGAATGTTTAGCTAGTTAATCGACCTGGTAAAAAAGCAACCTCAGTTTGCCTATGCTGATAACAATTCATGGCGTCCCAAGATCACGTGAATTAATAATTCAAAATAAGTCAATTGTCGACCGACTGTTGGTCGACTTTCAATATCCTATTACTGAAGGTTTATTTGAGTTTTTTTTTTTCTTTTTTTTTTTGTCATGTTGTATTGGGATATTAACCTATCACAAATGCAGCTTTAATTTCCCCTTATTGCTAATTCAAATTCACGCAGGAAAACCGGTCTTTTTTTCTCTTTCGTGTGACGAACCTCACAGTTTTCGGGCATTTTACATAGTCGGACGCTACTGATATACTTTTACGTGTTGTAAATTGCTACTCAAAAACTAAGGTTTAACTGATCTTTAATTGGCGGGTGCTGTTAAGACGAAATATTTCTCGTTGTAACTAAAGATAACCTGCTAAAGAGCGGAAACCATAGTAGGATGATGGCGACAGCAAGTGTAACCGGAAGTGGAACACAGACGAAGCTATTTGGCGAATCGCCATGCTCCCCAGTTTGGGTATATGAGTTCGAACAGCAGTCCATTTCATTCTCAGCAGTCAACATTCTCTTCTCCATCACAGCAATTATTGGGAATTCTCTTATCCTTGTTGCCCTTCATAAGGAATCTTCCCTCCATCCGCCATCCAAACTCTTGTATCGTTGTCTGGCAACAACTGATCTGTTGGTTGGTCTTATTACCCAGCCTCTGTACGCTACCTATTGGATGTCCTTGGCTCAAGAGCACTGGAGTCTTTGTCGATATTCTTTTGATGGATGTGTTGTAACAGGCTATGCATTATGTTCTGTGTCATTGTCGACAGTGACGGCCATCAGCGTGGACCGCCTTCTCGCTATGTTGTTGGGACTGAGGTACAAAGAGATTGTTACTTTGAGGCGCACGTATGTCATTTTAGCTATCGTTTGGGTTGTATCTCTAGTTGCTGGATTATTCTGTCATCTCGATGACCGTATAACCGCTTGGTACAGCCTAATAGGTGTATCATGTTGCTTAATTATCTCCATCGCCTCGTACATTAAGATTTTTTGCGCTCTCAGTCATCATCAGGCTCAAGTGCAAGATCATGTTCAACAACAGCCGAGCCAACGAAATGCACTGAACATTTCGCAATACATAAAGGCAGTGCACAGCGCACTGTGGGTGCAGTTAGCTTTAATTGTTTTTTATGTACCAATTGTTATAGCGGAAACTGTAATTACTCTTACTAAAGAGCGATTTCGAAATTTCGTCATAATCGATGGAATGGCAGTTGTCTTGGTGTTATTTAACTCTACTTTAAACCCGTTCCTTTACTGCTGGAAGATAAGTGAGGTGAGGGGAGCTGTAAAGCAGACAATCAGACAGGCAGTCTGCTATGAATAGGAGCACACCTATATTAACGTTAGCTTGTACTGTTACTGCTATAGCTTATTTGGAAAAATTATAATTGTTATGAGAGAGGGGAAGAAATGCCATTTCACGATAAGAAGAGTAAGGAAAAATATAAGGAGCTATTTCTAAATGGTATGTTGTACTTGAATTATCTAACGAACAACTAACAGGCGAAAAAATTGTGGTTTAATAACGAAACAAAACAATGATATGTCGCCAATTTGCGCATTTCTAATGAAGTAGTGAAGGCTATCAGTTATTTTGGAATCAGAACGCGCTCAGGATTTTTCTTTGCGATCAAATGTTGATGAGATATATATCACCTTAGCCGCAGCCGCTTGATTTTGTCATGGTTGGGAATTAGCCATTAGGTTTACAACGAAGTATTGTAAATTAAAGATGCGGACTTTGTAAACATCTGCTCAAATACACAGAAGGTAATGCTTAGAAAACAATTTTATCATCTCTATTTCACATGGAGTTATTGCTTGAGACCAAGATGATTTGCAGAAAAAAGTATTGTCCCAAGTGAAGGATAATTCGTAATTGTAATGATGTTTGAAGCAAATGAAATTTTGAATAGTTTTATTTAGTCCAGTTTTCTATTTTTCCCAATACCTATTAGCATCTTCAAAGAGGGTTTTACATTCAACTAAGATAATTCACGGCGTCCTAAGGTTGCATAAATTATATCAAAAGTCGATAAACCACCTTATCGATGAAAGTTTATATGGGTAAACAGGGTTTTTTGTAGTCATATTGTGAAATAATTCTTCCACTAATGTATATTTGCTTGCAGTGTGCTGCTAATTCAAATTTGCAGAAAAACCTGGCCCCTTTTTTTCTTTTTCGTATAACACACCAGACAGCTTCTTAGCGCATTTTGCATAATCAAACGCTACTGATGAACTCTTTATGCAATTATTATTCACAAATTGAGGTTTGGCTCATTTACAAGATCATATTTGACAACAGTCGAACAAAACAAATGCAACGAATATGGCGCGATACAGAAAATATCTTAAAGTTTAAACCGATTATCGAACCAGCATCAATTAAAACTGTTAATCGCGTGCAAATTTGTAGTCCTTTGTAGCAAAAAATTTAAAAAGCACCTTTATAACCAAATTCGAATATTCAAGAAGAATTTATGTCTCTATCACAGGCCGTGTACACACAGCTGGTCTTATGAGAAAACATTTTCTCATTTTAATGACAATCGAGTACAAAAGCTGTTTACACTCCCTCTTGAATACCAACCCCTGCTCCTAATTAAAAAGGTTTGTATGACAGCTCACCACTGCAAGGATCATTCCCGCGTCTGAATTTCATCTGAACGTCAAAAAAATCATTTGTCGTTAAAATTCTGAAAAAACAAAGACATTAATTATAACTGAAGGAATAAGACTGTTTTAAAAACTACTAACCTCTTTTATATGAGGGCCTTTAACGCTTCCTTTTCGTCCTCGGGACCGTTACGAATATCACGGAATGAATGTCAGGTTGTATGCGAATTTTTGATGAGTAAATGATTTGAGGAAGTTGCCACAAATTAATATATATCTCATCGATAAAATGAGAATCAAGTAAATTTGGTGGGTGATGTTTAAAAGTTCAAAATTATTTATCGATTGACTGATTTCCAACTACGATCTCCAAATATCGTAGATTTATGTTTTAAAACAATCCAGAAAATATTACAATGTTTCTTTATTTACTTTGTCTTGCTGAGTCATGAGCTAAGCCAGGCATGCCACGCTGAAACCGATCTTAAAATAGAATATAATGAAATGATGTAGAATGACCCAGGCTGTTAAGCATGTCTATGTAAGCAAAGCTCAAAGTAAGCTGGTGTTGTCATCACTAGCCTTTTCCAGGTGTTCATTTAGTAAAACGGAACGAAATGGTACACGGCAAGATAGTAGCGGCGGAGTGGAAAAACGGGTCGGGTCGGGTCGGGTCGGGTCAGTTCGGGTCGGGTTGGGTCGGGTCAGGTCGGGTCGGGTCGGGTGAAAGCCGTTCTTTACCCGTCCCGACCCAAGCCTCACTCTTTTTTCGCTCCGCCGTGACTATCGCGCTGTTAACTTACTTTTCGTTTTATAAGCTGAACGCCCCGAAGAGGCTGTAATGCAGATAAGCTATCAATAAAAGCTGTGATGCAGACTTCAAGTGACTACAATAGATGAGACAAAATGAATGCAAACCCTTGTCGTATTTATAAATAACAACTTTAATTGTTACCACGGTAATGTTTTGCAATCAAATAATGGCTCAACGAAAAATTTAACTCAACTTACTTCAGCTTTATTAAGAAGACAATGTAAAAAAGTTTCTTTGGCTTTATGCTTTGCACCTTTAAAATGAATGAATATTTTTATGCGGTAGCAAAACCTTATTAAAAAAAAACAAAACAAAAAAGAACCAAAATCGTGGCTAAAATAACATGTTATTGGTGACCATAGATTCATCCAAAGGAAGTATTCAAACTGCTTCTTGACAAGTGCAGCAACCTTTTCGTTTTTTAGTTCGCCGTAGATATGTGATCACGATTCTGACAAGTCCCGTGATCACAGCATTGGCATAAGTACTTCATCGTCTGTCAATAGCTTTCAGCGAAGGCTTTCCTTTGCCAAAAACTGAAGTTTTATTGCCATTTCTTTAGAAACGATGGTCACATGGAGTATAAATGTGTCCCCGTTATATGCTGCTATATCCAAAATTTTGTTTAGGAATTTGATAAACAGGTAACTAAGACAAACAGCATTGTTCAGTAGCAAACTTCCGCTTTAAAACAAGAAATAATTTGCACACAAGATGTCTCCCGTGGTAGTCATATTTGAGTTATTTTGGATCTTTTGAGAAACATTTCCACCCTTTGACAGGTATGACACGTAGAGAACAAACATTCAAATATTTTTAGAATAACTTTCCATCTGTAATCTACATTAATTTTAAAATTGGACTTTTTCTTCCAGTTTGCCTAACCTAATAACAATTCATGTCGTCCCAAGATCACATGAATTAATAATTCACGCTAGACAGCGAAACTGATCCAAACAACACGTCGGCCGATGCATTCGTCAAAGTGTCGGTCGACTGTCGGTGTTCTATCAATGAAGGTTTGTTTAAGTGAGGAGTTATTTTTTTCTGTTTTATTACGAAATTAACCTATCTCAAATGCAGTTTTGCTACCCCCCCTTATTGCCAATTCAAATTCCAGCTAAAAAACCGGCCTTTTTTACTTTCGTGTGACAAACCTCACAGCATTCGGGCATTTTACATAGTCAGATGCTATTGATGAATTCTCAATCTCTGTTGTTGCTATCCAAAAACTAAGGTTTAACTGATCTTGACTTGGAGGCTGCTGTAAAGACGAAATATTCCTCGTTGTTACTAACTTAAGGATAACTTGTAAAAGAGTGGAAACAACAGTGATGGCAACAACAACAAATATAACAGGAAGTGGAACACAGACGAAAACATTTGAAGGATTGGAATGCTCCCCATATTGGGTTGGTGAGTTAAAACAACAGTCCATTTCATTTTCAGCAATAAACATTCTCCTCTCCATCACAGCAACTCTTGGGAATTCTCTTATCCTTGCTGCCCTTCACAAAGAATCTTCCCTCCATCCGCCATCCAAACTCTTGTATCGTTG